AGCGCGTTCCAGGCCAAATTCGCCCGCCTGGACTCGTTGATAAATATGGAAGGAATGATGAAGGCATTGGACCATTACATTGGTATGCTTGAACGATGCAATGGAGACGCGGAGTTGTTTAACGCCAGCCGCCAATTTTTCAGCACTGACTTAAAAAATTTCAACTTGAGTCGCGTTCAGGTTAGTTCAATGGAACGCAAATAGCCTCAACGGCAAATTAGGTGAGCTGATCCACTTCCTTCACCGTGAGAGGATTGATATCGCCATAATCGTGGAAACATGGCTAGGCGATGGAGATCCTCTCGTGGTGAAAAACTATTCCTGTGAACGCTCTGACAGAGCCGGCCGCCGCGCTGGTGGTGTGGTGATATTGATCAGGACCCCGATCGCGTACAAGCGTATGCCACAGTGGCAAAGTGCCGTCGAGCCCGTGTACATCAAGCTAGCGAACGGCGTACTGATCAATGGCTGCTACAACGCCCCGCAGACCCGTCTGTCAGTAGCTAACCTATCCCCATTTTTCCCCCAAAACACTCGCTCCTTGTTGCTTGGAGACCTAAACGCCAGACACAGACTTTGGCGGAATCATTTCAACTTCAAATTGGGATCAATCAATTTCAATTTGGAACGTAGCAATTTCAAATTGGAATTAATCAACTTTTAATTGGAAACAAACACCTTCAAAATGGGAATAAACAAAGTCAAATTGGAAATAAACAATCTAGATTTGGTACTAATCAACTTCAAATTGGAATTGTTGAATGAATTTTACCCCTAAGAAGTTGTTCAAAGAAAACGTGGGGGACAAAGAAAAGCAAACATTTTAGAAAAATATAAGGTATAAATGACTGGGTACAGAGGAAAATCCTGAAATTACGCTAAAATAAAAAAAAAATGAACAAAATCTCATTTTGATAAAAAATATTTTCATTCGGGCTTAATGGCCGTCGTAAGTTGGAATTTTTTCCTGGCGTCTGGTAGCAGACTGCTACCAGAATCGGACATGGAAGCACCTCTGAAGATGCTAGCCACGCGTCACGCGTGCTCGCGAAACGTGAAGAAGAAATTCTAACTGACGATGGCCATTAAGCCCGAATGAAAACATTTCATCAATAAAACCGGACCGCGAAAGCTTCACAAACTTTATCAAAATCTCATTTTATTACTGTTCAAAGTCCCTTTTCCATTAATATATTGATTTTGTTCACTAGCAAGCTTTCATTTATATCAATACCTTAATCGAATAGGTCTATTCCCAATTTGAATTTGTTTCTTCCCAAATCAAAATTGATTAGTCGCAATTTGAAGTTGATTAGTACCAAATTAAATATGATTATTTCCAATTTGATTTTGTTAATTCCCATTTTGATATTGTTAGTTCCCAATTTAAAGTTGCTTAGTCCCAATTTGAAGTTGAAAAGGTATAGACTACTGCATAGGTACTCCCGTTTGGAAAAAGCTGAAAACATGCAACATTTCACATTTCTAACATTCAATTTTGGTTTCTGACCATGGTTTCTAAAAATTCAGACAAAACTGTACATACAACTTTTGTATTTACACCTTACATCTACTTGTAAAGGTGAAGGCTATGGGTGGGGTGTCAATATATAAAAAAACACTCTGTACTTGAACTCTGAATTGAACTTATTATATAAAGTCAGAATTTGTAAGATTATCCACTTTTTGTCAATTCGCTTTTCAACAGGAATTAGTAACGTTACTTTACCAAACTAGTAATATATTGTGACAAGTTATTCAAGTAAAAAGGAGTGAATTGTTGCGGAACTTATAGGTGGACCTCTGCGGGACGAGCGCAGCGAGTTCCGCAACCATCTATTCATCAATATGTTGTTTAATTACGATATTAACATGACTCACTCAAATGTGAGTTATTCTCACTAGTTTAAAACTACATGTTTTTTTTTTTTTACGGATATGCGCACTTGCAAGGAAATGTCCTATCACGCTCGAGAAGCGGCAAGTGCGCGGAAATGTCGGTGTATGTTGGTCTTGAAACGGTTCAGGTTGTAATCTGCAGGGAAAACCGTCGCAGGGAGTTTATTCCACAGCGATGCTGTTCTCCAGAGATATGAATTCTGATATAATGAGGTACTTGGTGCCTCTAGTTTGACAGTAAATTCATGGTTACCGTCTGTTTGACGGGTTCGCCTGGTAGGCGCTACTCTCGGTGGAATCATACGTGCCAACTCTTCAGGGGTACGTTCAGATTGAAACGTCGGACAAGGCAACTTGTCTATATAGTGACGTCACTGTGATTTTACCCGACCTCAGTTTGAAGTGAACGGTTTAGCTAAGAAACCTAACCTAACTTTATTTTTTATTTTGGTGACCAAAATTTTTCTGACATTTTCAAAATTGGAAAGTGTGGTGTGGTGAATGATATGAATATGGCAAATATAGTTGCTAATGCTAATAATAATCATATGGGCCTGTTCCTGCTACTAAATGTCACCCGCAATATATGTAGCATGATTTTTGATGAAGAAGAGGATTTGGAAGATGAAGGCGATGATGATATTATTTACCCATTGCTTACCAAGGGTGAAAAGCCGACAAGAATCAACAACTATTTTGAAATAGTTATTCCAAATTTGACAAGAAAACAGTTTCAAGAACATTTTCGAATCACCATTGAAGCTTTTGAGATTCTGGAAAACATGATTTCTCCACTCATTTGTGCAAAAGAAAATGCTCATCGCAAAACAGTGGATGAAAGAAAGCAGATTTTGATGGTACTGTGGCTCCTGGCTACACCAGATAGCTTTAGGTAAAATATTTATTTTTGTGTCCCAGTTCTGTTACAGGCATCAATATTTTGTTACAGGTCCATTGGAGAACGATTTGATGTGGCTAAGTCTACTTTATGGGTATGTTTTCATAGAGTCGTCAAGGCACTGAATGAAATATCCACCAGGTTAATTCAATGGCCAAATCCTCAGCGAAGGATATAGATAGCCAATAACTTCTTGAACTTTGGTGCAATTCCAAATGTGATTGGTGCTCTAGATGGAACATATGTACCCATAAAAGCACCTAAAGAGAATCCGGAGGTTTATGTGAACCGAAAGTGCTTTCATGGCATTACCTTACAAGGCATATGTGATAGTTCCTTAAGATTCCTCCATGTATTTACTGGCTACCCCAGTTCTGTTTCTGACATCAGAATATTTCGGAACTCAGACATTCACAATAGAATTTTAAATAATCCAGAGGAATACCTCAATCCAGAGCAGATTTTATTAGGGGATAAAGCCTACCCTATATATAAATGGCTTATATCTCCATTTATCAACAGGGGAAATCTTAATGCTGTGGAAAGACAGTTTAATATTGTACATGCATCGCTACGTCAATGCATTGAAAGATGTTTTGCACTATATTTTGGAAGAATGAGAAGAATGCAATATTTAGACATGAATAGGTTTGATTTATATCCCTACGTCATCAAAGCAGCTTGTATTATCCACAATTTGTGCCTTATACGAAATGATGAACAATTAGAAAATTATATTTTGGAAGGACTTCCAAGAGTCAGGCAGAACCAAGAAGAAAACCATTTACACAATAATCTTGTAGGTGCGGATTTAGTCGCATTAGCCAATGAAGGAAGAATTAGAAGAGAGCAAATCGCAAGAAATCTGGATATAATCAATAGAAGAGAATGAAAAACAATTTCATATTTGTGATCAATTATAGGTACTTATATCAATAAAATATTATAGTGTTACGCATATTTTGTCTCTATTTTATTTATTTTCATAATAGAAAAAATTAAAACACAATCATTTTATTCGCTATGAATTTATTTAAAAAAAAAATTACATCAGCCTATTATTTCTCCTTTTTGTTTTGTTCTAAAAGAAAAAAAAACGAAACCCAATATCTTAAGGGGTTTTCTCAGGTCCACTTTTTTAAAATTGGTTCAAAACAGGTTTGAGTGGAGCAATGGGGTTTCCATTAACTGTTTCAAACAGGTTTTGAACCAATGTAAAAAAAGTGGACGCGAGAAAACGGCTTTTATTTTCTACTTTACTATTATAGATCCATAATACCTAGGAAACGAAATACGTTAACACACCTATAACAACCTGATCCATAACGCCCGCTTTTGCGGGCGTTATGATCTATAACGCCCGCTTATAATACCTTAAGGTGTTTTTGTTGTTGTTGTTCTATTAATTTGCACTTTACCCTAGGCAGCCACTAAATGTCTGACCGAAAATAATTTTCGGTCTAGCCAGGATTCGAACCCGGTCTACCATCAATGTTTCCCATGTAGTCCAGCGCGTTAACCCACAGGACCACCACCGTTGCCTTGCCTTATGAGATGTTTATAGATATATTAATTTATTTCGTTTCTATGTACAGGTCGCAGGTACAGGTACAGGTCACAGGTACAGGTACATGTCAAAATACAAAACAATATTCTGTCACACAAGTTTAACTGATTTTGTTAAGTACAAATTGATGAAAAAAACATTGTGTTGAGTAGAAAATAAAGCATTGTATGCACCACGGGGATGTCAAGATTATAATGCCCTTCAGGCGAAATATATCCCTCGGGCCATAGGCCCTCGGGCTAGTTTCGCCTTCGGGCATTATAATCTACATAATCCCCTTGGTACATAAATAGCTATAATGTCCAAATATCATAAATAAATAAAAAAATTCAAACAACATAATATAACTTAAACCAACGCTTAAACATAAGGACACAGCATATAATATGACCTCGAATATAACACTTACTTTTTGGTTTGGTACTATAATGGCCGTTTGCACTGAACATTTCGAGAGAGGCTTAACAATAAGTATCGTTAAGCATCCCTTGAAATGGTCAATGTAAACAGCCATAAATCACTAAAATAAACTTTCGATTCTATAAAAGCTAACATTTTCATAAATACCTAATAGGTAACTTGAAACTAAAGAGAAAAGCCTGAACAAAAAGAAATGTAGAAACACTAATTACCTACTTCTTTGGTTCAACAATATTTTGAGCCAAATCGAGTATCTGGCGACATAAATCTAAGGCTTCATTTTTTTTCTGCAAATTTTCCTGGTGCCTTCTTTCTGCATTTGTCTCTCTTTTCGAGAGAATTTTTATAACAGGCTTCTCCTTGTTTACTAATAACTTCCTTTTCTTTTTGCCAGGTATATTTTCATCATCATTTTCCTCATTTTTTTCACAGTTTTCCTCTGCTGGAAAATTGTTAGTGAATGAAGAAACTATGGCCACTGGGGTGACATTGTGGTCATCTTTGAAAATTACATCCATTTCATTAAAAAATTGAAAATAAATCTTTTGGGAGCCTGTAGCTCTAGTAGACATATTGTCTTTTTTTTTTAAATACATTGTTTTCAGGTACTTAAATTTATTCCGACACTGATCGGCAGACTTATTGCACTCCATTTGCTGCTTCATTTTTTCGCAAATTTCTCCCCAAAACACATCTTTTCTGGTCGTTGTAGATTTGAATAAATCTTGATTTTGTCTGTATAAATCGATGACTAGAAGGATCTCACCTCGAGTCCATACCGATCTTTCCGAGGATCTTTCTACCTCTGTAGTAGTTGAGGTGGAGGGGCTCAGTGCTAGTAGAGGGTAATGATAATGATTCATTTTGAACATTCACTAAAAAATTTAAAAAAAGAAAAATTGGAATAAACGGATATCTTTCACTTAATTAAAAAAAAAGTCCAATAAATAGAAACTTACGTTTCACAGGAGATTTTTGGATATGGATACTGTTCATGTTCTTCAATTTGTTTAAATTTACAGAGTTACCTGAAATAATCAAGAAAATAATGTTAAATAAACGTAGGTAGAGAATATAATAGTTGTTGCAGGTAAAATATGCGGATGGTTGCACAAAAAAGGATTTTCCATCCTTTGAGTTTCTGACAAAAATAGGTATTTTGAGTTTACCTTGATTGTTACTCACCGATAGATGTTTTTGGGGTAGTCAAAGCAATTTTCTTGGCTTCTTCTTTTGGTGAGTGAGCCAAGGTTTGGGTTGGTTGATTAAAGCAAGCCCTAGAATGGTTTAACAGGGCGCTAGCGTATGCTTGATCTGAAACATAACATGCCCTAAGCTTTACATCATCATTCAGTTTCTATATAGGCACTTATTTGAGGGGTTGATCATAACTACTCAAAAGAAAAAAAATTGAACTAACCATTGCAGGCCTTAATATAATCCTCTTGATCCAATGTGATTACGTATGTCCTGTTGAAATCGGGATCATAGAGTTCAAGTTTGAACTCCATGATGTTCATTTAGGCTTAATTGAACATTGAACAATAAACAAAACCAAAACACGGCACAACCAGAAAACTGAAAGTGAAAAGACAACACAGAAAGACATTAAAGACAACAGCAACAGCTGTCATGAATTTTGAAATAAACAATCAAACTGCGCATGTCGGGCAACATTCATCCACCTCGCGAGTTGGATAAACTGGCAAGTCGTGCGGCGTTTTACCTTGCCTTATCTGAACGCTGGCAAAACTGACCCAGGGTTGAATCTGAACGGCTTTGGATGTGTCGGACGTCGCCCGACGATTAATTTGAACGCACCCCAGAGCATTTTCCGTGATAGTACCTGTTGTCATGGTTCAATTTTCCCATTCAAACTTACCCATGGTATGAGCCTGGCGACTATGAATTATTCCAATAAAATTGATTTTGTTGAAAGTTTTGAAATGTCCCAGCCAGCAAGGGTACGTCATATTGACGTCCTTATATGGTGATAATTCGTCAATACTCGTCACCTGACCAAAAACTGACGACATATTGACGTGTGATAAATGCCGTTCAAATGACGTGCTTTTTATCACGTAATATTGACGCGTTTTTCTGGTGATAAATGTAATACACATTGACGTCAATATATATCATGTAATATTCACGTATTTTGCTTGTGGTTCAGTAAACCTGGTTTTTTGAATTAGTTTTTTTTTTTCAATGTGTTTTGAATGTATTCCTAGAATTCCTAGGGTTGTGCCGTGTATACTGTATTCTATAGTGAATAGGAGACAAAGTGATGATACAAATCATTATTTTTTTTCGCATTTGTAACTACTCACGAAAATTTTGATCGAATCGAATGCGAATAATACCCCTACCCTCGCATTTTTTCGACATCCTGTTTTTTAATTTTTACTACAGCAAAACTTTGATGCGTTTGAAAACACATCTTTGAATAAAAATTAAATGGAAAACTCCCATAGTTCATACTCATAGTTCCATCTCTGACTTTCAAATAGTATAGAAATAAACGGTAGAAACTGTGGAAAGGCCAGAAAGGGGACGTATTTGGTTTGTTTTTGTGTTTGGTCAACGGTTTGGTGAATGCGGAAATTACTGTATTCCTTTTATACATCGAGTGACACCGAACAAACACCGAACGAAAAACGTTCAAGCTTCTGACTTTGAGCAGCTCCGAGTAACTCAACGGGAAAAAGGAAAAGAGTAAATACAAATACACTCACTCCTGTATTTTTTTTGTTTCGAAATTCTAGCATTAGTTTAGTATTAGTAAGGGACAACAATAAATATTGCATCGCCGCGTGGGGAAACGAATATGCTATTCAGCGAATTCTATTGGTAGAACCAGTGCAGAAAAATGTTTTTTTATCTCTTTCTTATAGAAGTCGGTAGAAAAGACACGAACACACTCAGTGCGCACTAACCCTTCCAATTCGCTACTGTGTGTGTGACTGTTGACGTTGATTGTTGTGAGGGAGTTTGTTGAGGTTATGTTGTGGTTGTAGCATGGCGTGGTCGTGTTTCATTTGGTTTTCCCTCGCTTTTTGCTTTCTCATTTCCCTCCAAGTTTCCCTCATTTCTTTTTTACGCAAGTATCGCGTGGAATTATTAATTCTTGATATATTTTTCGGTTTTAATTTCTCTTCAGAATCATCCTGCTGCATCCAAGTGAAACGCCTCTATATGAATGTGAGTTTTATTCACGTGTTTGTGTTGAGACTAATAACAATCACCAACCGTAAGTATATGTCTTTTGTTTTAATATACCTTATTTTATATTATAATATACATTATTATTATTGCTTGTTCACCTAAGGGCCAACTTATGGACCAACAGGTAAGTGTCTGGTTGTTACCTCACCTAGCAAGTACTACAAGTAATATGTTTAATACGCCTACAGAATATTTATATTGTCTTTTTTTAAATATATTTTTCTCAAAAGTGATATAGTGTTGGTTCATTTTCGTTACAGGTCATATAAATTTGAAAAAACAAGGATTTATAGAAAATATATCAGGTAAATATGACGTCATTTATAAAATAGATATCACGCGAATGGAACGTTATTAATACGCCAATATCACGTTAAATAACTCATAAATTTGACGTCAAATAACACGTAAAAATGACGTACCAACTATGACGTCATTCGTCCCAGACATTAGGAAGTCATTTTCACGTCATAATTAAGTCATTTAGCTCGTCATTTCTCGTCACTTGATGACCAGTATTTAACGTCATTTTCACGTGCTGTTGTTACTTGGGGTGTGTTTACAATAATTTTCAATTTCAGATTTTGTTTACTTCGGCCAGACCAGAGGTTGAATTGAATTGAATTGAATTGAATTGAATTGAATTGAAAATGTCTTTATTTAGGTGTACACAAAGTTTCATTACAAGAGAATATAGTAATACCAGGTGGCGATATTCGCTTAGTAGCGCTCTTCCATATAACCACCTTGAGCATCTAATAATATAAATAATAACAACAACCATGCTAAGTGACAACAAGCAAAACTAAATTATATAGGTAACCAAGTAAATATATAGATAATTTTACTAACCATTACAAAAAAAAATTAATTTGTTGTACGGAAACTAAAAATAAATAAAATAAGGAAACAAAAGAAAAATAAACCAAAAAAATTAAACAAAAAAAAAAATAAAAAGTAAAAAATAAAAGACCAAAAAATAAGAGTCAGAAGGACACCTACACACTTATTTGAATATTTTTAAATGGAAACTCTAAGCTGATTATTTGAAACAAGTCTTTTTATCTCCCTTTTAAACGACAAATCACTAACTAAAGATTTAATACGTTCAGGGAGTTTATTGTAAAGTTTCACAGCTGTAAAACTAAATGATTTTCTAAAGAGTGCTGTTTGATGATTTGGCACACAATAGAGACTGCGATGCCTAGTACTTCTAAAATGAACATCACTGCATCGAGTGAGCTTGGAAGAAAGGTAAGTTGGTTTTTTGCGTTTGTTTAATCTAAACATGAATGTTGCCAGAGAGACAATGTAGCGCTGATTCAGCTTCAGCGACTTAGCGTCAGCGAAACTTGACGAAACATGGTCAAACTTCCTAAGGTTGTAAGCAAATCGAATGCAAGCATTTTGGAGTCTTTGGAGGCTCTCCTTGTCCTTGTTCAAAATGACGGGCCAATAAAGAATGTTACAATAGGATATCAAAGAAAGAATTAAACTATCACACAGCTTCAATTTAACATCCTTACTTAAAACCTTTTGATACAATCGAAGTGCTTTGAGTTTGCTATATGATTTTTGCATTAGATAGCTAATATGCTTGTTAAAATTAAGTTTGGCATCCATCCATACCCCCAAGTTTTTAGCAAAATCAGAGGCTTCCAGAGTCTGACCATTTAACCCGATTGTAAATCTCTCATCCCGGACCACCCAAGGCGCTTTGGGCCAAAGACCATAAGTTCCGTTTTGGTTTCATTAAGCGTCAAACCATGGGCAGATGAAGCTGTGGATATAATATTTAGATCCTCATTGATTTTCTGCACCGCATCTGGAATATCTTCAAGTGAGAAAGTAAAATACAGTTGATTATCGTCAGCGTACTGATGTGACTCGCAGTTTTTAAGCATTTTTGGGAAATCGGCTGTATACGCTGCATATAAAATAGGGCCCAGAATGCTTCCTTGTGGAACTCCTTTATCACAAGCACGAGATTCCGAAAAATTGTTATTCCAGATAGTTCGCTGCGATCTAAAACTTAAAAATTCTTTAAAGAACCTGAGTTCCAAATTCTCAATTCCAAAAAATTCAAATTTGGTGCAAAGTACCCCATGGTCCAACGTATCAAACGCCTTGCTGTAATCCAGGAGGAGAAGGCATGTATTAAGCCTCTTGTCCGTGGCTCGAATAATATCATCCGTCACCTTCAGCAGGGCAGTGGTCGTGCTGTGTGCCTGTCGAAAACCAGACTGAGATAAGGGCAAAATGTTTTGCTCTTCCAAATAAATTGTCAACTGTCGGGCCACAATTTTTTCAACCACTTTAGAGAGAGTAGGTAAGATACTGATTGGTCGAAAGTCCGCCGCTGAGGATGGTGAAGGTTTTTTTGGGACAGGTGTTACATTTGCGCTTTTCCAAACAGAAGGAAAACAGCCATTCTTGAGACAAAAATTAACTATAAATGTAACGTGCTTAGACAGAGCGGGTAACAGTAGTAACAACATTTTAATTCCGATTCCGTCAACCCCTCGCGCACCCGTTTTGATTGACCTCAATATATTTATGACCTCTTCGGAGGACGCCAAACTAAACTTAAAATTTTCGGTAAGTCCCGGAAAACGCTTATTGACATAATTGTTATGTATAAAATCTTCATCAATATTGTTTGTAGGTGCCGAGGTAAAAACTGTATTAAGCTCGTCTGAAGAGATTTCTAAATTGTTACAGCTCACCGAATTATTGTTTACGTTCAGCCATTTGACGAATTTCCAAAACTCCTTCGGGTTATGTTTAAACTTATAGTCAAAAAATGCTTTTTTCTCTCGTCTAATTGAGTTATTCACAAAATTGCGCATGTCACGATATTCATTTAGTGCTAAATCTGTTCTATTATGTTTGTACCTTAGTTTGGCTCTATCCTGTAATCTCATCATTAGTCTAATGTTATCGGTCAACCAGGGCGCTGGAGGTTTTTTAATTCTGACAGTTCTAATAGGGGCGTGCATATCAAATAGATTGGTTACCTTGACATTAAAACAATTTATAATTTGATCTATGTGAGTCAAGACAAACAAATGATCCCAATTAACTGCCAGTAGATCTTCATGAAATAGGTCGAAGTTGAACCGCGAAAAATCTCTATAAGTTCTGAACATAGTTGGGTGTTTTTCTCTGTAAAATTTTAACTTACAGGAGACAAAATGATGGTCTGAAATGTCGTCCATTGTGAGCACTTCCACTTCCCTGCACAAGGTGGTATCGGAGATAACCAAAACATCCAGCAAAGTGCTAG